ACTTCAGCGGTGAATCACCCACTCAACGGGTTGTAGAAGCTTAGAATACTCTTTCCTAACCAGTAAAAGGGACGACGTCCGTAAAGCTCTTCAAGAAATACCTTGTGTCCATGCTTTTCCTTCGACAATCTGAACCCGAACTAAACACCATGTTAATCCTCGACAAGAGTTTGTTTTAAAAAAAACTACTTGCATTTTGTAAGTACCACGTTAATAGCGACAATGTTTTCTTCTCACTCCAATCCAACCAGGCTTATTCCAATGACGATGACAGAGCAGAAGCGGCCAAGTACTGCCAACAGACGCTACAACGCCAATTGCAATTTGCTGGACACACTGAAGCTCTGCTTACGCGGCTTGGCGTGGAGAATCACAAGGTGGCGAGCACGGACGGCGACACTGTGGCGGTGCCGCCCAGTGATTGGCTAGTTTCTTCTGTAGTTCGAATTGACCCCGTTGAGTGGGCCACCAATGCCTCCACCCTTGGCGAATACTATCTAGCCTGCGGTCATTACGAGGCCGCTTTGGAGTGCCTCTTATCGGCATGGACGTAAGCACTGCTCCTATAAGTCCCTTTTGTTGAGGAAATAAGGCTTTCGTCTTTGAGCTTTCTATCCATATCCAACAAACGCAAAAAATGCTGACTTTTCCAACAGTCAATATGAAAACTGTAGAGTTAACATCAGCGATGTGTGTAGGCCAGTTGCACAGTGTCGCTACTGACACAATGTTCATTATCTAAGTAGAACAGTTACTCAGCAAATGGGAATCGAGTTTGCGTTTAGATGTCGCAAAATCTTCTGAAAGGACCACCTCGTCAGGGAATCTTTTCCATGCTCCAACGAGCCTCCGTTGAACGTTTATATGGGTAAAATTTGTCTGCAATTTAAAGGGATGACCCCGCAGATGATCCGTCCGAGCCAACTGTAAGAAGCTATCAAATTGTAGGGCGAACTGACGGCCTCTAACGATACTGTGGGTTTGAATAAGGTCACCACGTAGTTGCTTGTAACTGAGAAATGACGTAGCCCTGGCCGCATTCGTTCCAGCTGCAAAAGAAGATGCGATCACTGGAACAAGAGCTTTATTTTCCTGACGCCTTGGATTCTGTCCAGAATCCTTAATCATAGGTATTGGTAGGATAGTCTGAGCCATGCGCCGATAGGGGTAATGCATGCACAGAAAGCACGGTATTTGTAGTTCGTAGCGGTCATCCGCGTGCGTACTATAATTATCCGCTCATGTAACCACCGCTTGGAGCCTTAATTGGCGTGGTGATGGCTTGATACTTCGCGTTCGACTCATTAATTGCCGCGATTTCTTTTTCCATGTCGGATGCGGGCTTTATAATTGCGCGACAATTATGCTTGCTGTCGTCAGAGTCGTTTTTGGGTCCGGCCCTTCCCACATAACTGATTCTCTTGTTCAGGCAATGTCCCAGTACGCAGTATGAGAACGCCAGACCGTTGCGTTTGTTGGTGGACTGTGGGCCTGAGAACCATGACTCGAGCAGCTCGCGGCTCACTTCTTGCGAGGATTTCGGCCTCATTAAACTCGAAAATTTGACCGGGTCTCGTCGAATGAACTGCAACCAGGGAGTTAGGGTCTTTCTTCCTCACCGCCGTTGTATTTTCGGCTATTCGCGTCAAGATTAATCTCCCGATTTCTCCGTCGTAGCTGCTTTGTCCACAACTGCAGTAAATCTGGTAAACGACTCTATCCGTTTCCTGCCGTGGCAGTGGGTCTTTCGGTCTCATGTTCCGGATGCCTGATGATTGCTTCTGGCCTGTGCGTATCTCCGACTCCAAGTGCGATGAGCAGGCCGCTGACTGCTTCAGATACATTCTTCACGTACAGAAGACCTCGCCAAACTTTTGGGCGAGTAAAATGTGGTTTCTTCTTTCGTTTGTGCATGAAT